CGGATGAGAAGGAGCGGTACATTGGTGAGGGCTTCAGCTTCATCTGAGTCTTCAGCCTTGTGTGGAGTGGAGTTGGGTTTTGGAGGGGGTCTCGGAACTGGAGGGGACATTCGAGGTGGAAGCGACACTGAGGGAAGGTTTGGGGGGGAATCGGGAGCTGGGCGAAGCGTCCTGTCCTAGAGGAGGTCTTGGGGAGAGGACCAAGGGCTCATCTCCATCCTCCACGCACGGCTGATGCCTTTGGGTTTCCTTTCCCGCAGCCCCCACGGTGCTGGTGGACTTGCAGCCCTCTGACCCCATCATGCAGGAGGAGATCTTCGGCCCCGTCCTGGGCATCGTCACCGTGGCCAACGTGGAGGAAGCCATCGAGTTCATCAACGCGCGCGAGCGGCCGCTGGTTGTGTATGCCTTCTCCTCCGACGACAAGGTAGAGCGTGTGGGCTGTGTGGGGCCAGGGCTACGCTCGCCCTGTGCTCCTCGGCGGTTCCATCCAGCCGCCTTTGTCCTCCAAAAATCATCCTGCGAGCAGCCACCCTGGTTGTTGGGAAGGAATCGCAGCCGGAGGTGCAGGGATGGGGTCCAAGCCCCACCTCCCCCTCTCTGCGTCCCTCCCAGGTGGTGAACCAGGTCCTGGAGCGGACGAGCAGCGGTGGCTTCTGCGGCAACGACACCCTGATGCACGTGACACTGACCTCGCTGCCCTTCGGTGGCATCGGTAGGTTCCGGTCCCCAACCTTTGCTTCGCCGCGCCAGGGCTGAGCCCTCGGGCTCTGCAGCCCTGCTCCTGCCGACCGCGTGCAGGGCACCGGGAGGTTCCTTCTCTCCACGTTCTCCATCCCAAGCGCAGTGTTCCCTGTGTACGTGCCAATATCTCGTTTGAGAGGTCAGGAATTTCGGAGGTGACCACCACAGACCCATCTCCAGACCTTTCCCCACACAGTGCCTCTGGAGGGAGCCGGCAGCCTGTCACACCCATCCCGCTGCTGTGCCGCCCTTTTCTCTGCAGGAAAAGTCTCAGAAATTGTCACTTATCCCCAGTTTTCAGAATTTCAGTTTTTCCTGCACTCTGGGTGTGAAGGCGCCACAATTTCCTATGAATTCCCAAATGTACCCATGCTTATAGGAAACTCCTCAAGTCCTCTACTGGACGGAGAGGAAGGCTCCAGCCTTCACCTGCTTTCCTCAGCTCCGAGGCACCATCCCTCCTGTTGGGATGACGATGTTTTGCAAAATTCTTATTCTATTGATATTTCTCTGAGCTCGGTTTAACGTAGCGTATTTTGCACCAGGGCTCAATTACCTGAAATGCTGAAATCCAGGGTCGTTGGGAACCTTTCCTCCTCCCAGCCCAGTTTTCCTCCTCCAACCATCCCTCAAGCTCCGTCTGGGCCACCTCCATGGTCCTCAGATGCTTTTCTGGGGAACCTTGGCCACGGCCAACCCTCCTTGGCGCTGGATGGAAGCGCCATCGGCAGCTGGGTCTCCATCACCGCTGCCCTCGAGAGGGGAGCTGGGAGCTTAACTGTGGGCTCGTTGGCCCAAAGGGTGGGTGGGTGATGTCCAGACCCCCCC